CTTGCTGGAATACAAAAGACTTGACACTGGCAAAAAAAATCTATCATTCTTTAAGGCAACAAAAATTCAGGTAAGTTAGACTACCATAATTCCCTATCAGGTTACACATGAAACAGAGATTATGAAGACCTACAGATCAGCAACAGGAAACTTGTTTTTCCCTATCCTTGCCCAGCTATGATTTTCTTTAACTGAAATAAGAAAAATAAGTTCTTTAAAATATCAGACTCAAGGAAGGACCACAAGAGGAGGTAATAAGTCCATTAGACCCCCCCAGTGATAAAGATGAAATAAAACAGGATAAGATTGTTTCATAAGAATAAGTTATTTCTTTACATGAGCCTTGAGAAACAAAGATGATAATACTTGTCCTGGGATTACTTTTTCCACAGAAAGCAAAGTAAGGCTTGAAATAGAGAGGTTAAAAAAACCTTTGTGAAATTAAAATAGCAGTAAAGATACTGTTTCTTCAGTTAAATTAGCCACATGATGAAGACATATGCCTCTCCCTGCAGGAGGAGATCCTGCTCTATTCACCTTGGCTTTGTCCTAAAGTGTCTGATGAGGGCAGAAGGAAAGAAAAGTCTTTGAAAAAAGTTCCGTAAGCCTAAATCCCAGAAGTACACGTCCCTCTTCCATCCCCAAAAGGGGAAAGCTCCAAACAGTCACAGTGACTAACCAGTGTGCCTCAGCTCTGATACAGAGGCCAGAAGCAGCAGCAAGAAAAGACTGTTTCTTGTTCACAACTGTTTGGTTATGGACTCATCTGCAGAAATGATAACTAGTACCATCTGTGGCGGCATTTTTTAGGGAGAGGAGAAGTCAAGCCAGAACAAAGTCTGGCTGCATAGACTTCTGAAAAGCTGTCAGCTGCCAGTATAGTTTACAATCACAACTCACCCCTGGACACATTTCAAGTTAGTGACTGGCTCCATGATCTATCCTAATCCTTTAAACCACCCAATCATTTAAGTAACCAGGCTTCATCTTGGTTTCAATAATAATTTCTTAGGAAATCATGTAAGGAATATTAGGAAGTCTTTAAGAAAAAGGAAAAAAAACCCAAACAAGCAAAAGACCCAAAAACCAATAAACCATCACACACTGATCAGACCTTGAGTAATCCTACAGACACCTTAAGAAAAACTGCCTATCCTATTTTAAGCTGCTTTCTGTGTAATACATAAAAATGTGCTGAAGTAACCCACTGCAAAAGAAGATAGTCTTTATACAGAAATGGAGCTCCATTCACATCCATGTTTTCACAAGATGCTTGAGGAATGCATGCACCTTGACCTGCTTCCTGTGGTGCTGTGCTGACTCCGGTATGCTTATGCTGGAGTCCAGCAGAGGCTCAGCATGGGTAGATGTAGTTTGCTGATGGTGGTTTTATTGGGATTGAGAATGGTTTACAACTGAATCTTGTCAGAAATGTTCTCATTAATTCCTCCCCACATTAAGAAAATGCAGATTTCGATCTTCTTGCCTCCCTTTCCCAGTTCACAGCCTGACAAACCTGAACTCCAACATCCCAATTGTCCTCTGCATTCTAGAGGTGGTTTAATCCAAACTCCATCCTCTTGCTACTTCTAGACCCATCTCTTCATCTCTGCCTTACTTGTTTTTGTCCTTTTTAGAGCTTCTACTACATACATCTTCAGACTCCTCACAGTAGGTTGAAGTTGAGTGTTAAAGTGAAGGAAGAGTAAGAATAGGGTTTGACCTGCTGCAAGCTGTTTCCGATGCAAAACAACATGAAGAAAGAGTGTCACCCCACAAATTGCACTGAATTTTAATCTGTTCTCACTCTGATTATGCACATTGAGGTCTGTGTTATGAACTCTTACATTCTTCCCCACATCCAAATGCATTGCTATAATTGCAGGCAGAATAAGTTCATTCATCCCAAAGCAATCACCTGCCCACTTGGTGCTGTATCGTATTTTCTACCTTCACTGGTAGTATGTTGTTGGGCCAAGAATATATTACTTATTTTGGCAGATTTCTTTAACTCTAAATCTGCCATACATGCTTGCAGTGCTGCAAAGTCACAATGATGCAATTGCAGTAGAGTGGCCAAACACATATGAAGTGTATATATAAAGTAAAATTAACTCACTGTCTCTATACCTCTGCTCACATTGCAGCAGTTGCTTTTCTGATTCCATAAAATACCCTCTTTATTTCTCCTCTTCAACCCAGGAGCTCTTTGTTTCTCTGTCTGCTCTTACCACTTATTTCTGATCAGCAGCCATAACCTACAACTGAAATGGAACAATTGGATGTGGTGGAGGTGAAAATAAAGTATCAAAACATCAATATTCATCAAAAAAATAAGTGGTGTAAGTGATTAATTTCCGCAGAAAACAGGACTACTCTCCTGCAAAAGACTTACATGAAAAGGAGAATATTCAAGGCAAATCTTAACAGGTATCATTGTTTTCCAAATAGGATATTTTTCAATTTTACTTCGTTATGGAGAAATAGCACATATATTTAAAAGAAAGCATTTTTATAGAAGGTACTCTGAACTATAGCAAAACCAAAGACTACCACTCTGTTGCAGGATCTCTTAAGAAGTCATGTCAGTGTTTGGATTCCCTGTTGAATAGAAATGCTCCATCTCAGAGCTGTTTGTTTCTGCCTTGGCCTCCATCTTGGGCCACCTCTGTATGAAAACAGTTTTCACTGCACACACTCACAGCTGATGACTGTTTGCATTGTCTCTCTCTATAAAATACCAATACCATCACCTCTCCTTTGGATTCACACACAGGAGCGAAGGGAATAAAAAGCTTTTGTGACCTACAAAAGCCTTACTTGAAATAATTCTCTACGACTTCAGGCCTTTTGGAATGGAAGGGATATATTGTTTTGACTTGATTAAAGCTGAAAAGTTGATTTGACATCCTGTTGTCAAGGAAACCAATTCACACACAAAAGAAAACAGTTGTGATGGTATCATTCAGACTATTCAAGTGACCTTAGAAAGAAAAAACGGCTTCAGTTCCAAAGATTTGTATTCAACTCACTTCACCACTGTAGAAATAAAGATCATTGCTCTTTATGCTTATTGGAAAGCAGTTTTCAATCTGGGAAAAGAAAAATGCCACATCTTCTTCCATCTGCCAGATCCAATACTTTGCTGGGGACTATACACATAAACACACCTACCATTTATTTGCCTATTTCAAAGGACCACAGAAAGAATCATACAGAAGACTTATAGGGAAAGAGAAGGAATTTCTTTAGTTGACAGGACTATGATAAATACCCCCTGACACATACCACACCTATTGAACAGCAGTTCACGAGCCAGGTTTTAAAACATCCTCCTTCAACTACACATAGACCTTACCTCGAACACAGTATCGTTTGCATCCAGCTTTGTTTTCCTGGGAGATACCAAAAAGCGGCATTTTTTTCTCTTCCAACCTCCTAGGTCCCTCACAGATTGAGTTTTCCATGCATGCAATAAATGAAGTATACCTGTGCTCAATCTGCTCATGCTTCCTGCCTACAGAATCCAAAGAGGCAGAGCTGTCCTGGCTGACCACTACCATCACCCAGCTTTGCAGTCCATGCAAGTCTCACAGAGGTTTCATTCCTTAACAGCTGTGAGTAGATTGGAGAAATGAAACTTTCTATCTCTCACACACTGTAATTATACATCTCTTTCTCCAATGATACAGCCTCTGCCTGGCTGAGTGAGCAGATAGATGACTAAATAGCAACTTGTCTCAAATTCAGCTTGGGAAAAAACAGGCATGATATTAATAAGGAGGGAAATATACTGAGGAATAGATGCCAGTGTTCTTACATTATTGTCATTTAAGGGCATCACACCAAAGGTCACAGAGATAATACGCCTCAGTCATTTTCCATTTGTTGCACAACATACAAATTGCCACAGCATTAATGAATATCTTTTCCCACTCGTGGCCAGCCAAGGCACTGTATTATTTCCTCTTAGACAAGCACCTAACCCTTGGAATTCATTATTTTCATCACTTCTTGCAGCATTTTCTCCTTAGGGCTGAGCATAAATGCCACAAGGCGACTGTGACTGGAGCATCAAACGCTTCGTATGCCTGGGTCTGACTTCCTTCTGCTGGAGCTTTTTTGCTGGAAGAGCATACAAAGCATATCGGTATCTTTTATGATCAAATGTGTATACACACAAACATTCATATATGCTCTCTTGCAAGTGTCTTAAAGCCCTTGCAGACCACAGCGGGGGTGGGGAGAAAATGACATTTTCTGTACTTTGTGGATATTGCTTGATAGCTATATATTGAAATAATAGTTATGCTACAAACACCAAATAACCACAGCAACAGAAGCTACCACGAAATAACTGCATTTCCACTTAAAACGATGACAAGTGGAAAGTAGCTATTGGAACAGAAATGACATTCACAGAAATGTGGAAGGGCTTCTCTGAAGGGATATACTGCTTAAACCCTCTTTACTTCTAATAAACTGCTAAGATAGCACAGCTGAGCTATATAGAGCTATATAGAGAGGAATGCCTCATTTCTAATCTATACTTCATTGTATTTGAAGTCGAGGAATTTTGCATAAATATAGATAGCAACAGCTGAACCAAATTCCTACTATTTCATAAACTAAATGAGGGTTTTTTAAGATGACAAATTATTATTTCCACTGTTCACTGTAAGTATAAAGAATATGCAGATGAAAAGAGAATATTGAAGGCTGGTAGCTTTGTACAGTTCTGAAAAGGACTAAACGTTATGTGCATAATTAAAATAAGAAAGAGAAGAATGAAGTCCAACACCAAATGATGAACTAAGATAAGGCAAGAGTACTTGCTGCATGTAATCAAACCACCTCCACCTCTGTCCCCCAGGCTGAAACAGTGCACTCTGCATTTTAATGAACATCTTATCTTGGTATTTTCTCCCCTCCCACCCAACAAACTCAAACAGCCAGAGCCAGCCAGGAAAGAAGAAAGCTGATGGCACTGCTAAGCTTACCCACAAACAGGTCCATATTCCGTAATGAGTTTTGTGTGGTTTTCCCAAAAACCCTGGAGAAAAATAAAAATAACAAAGTGGTTTAGAACAGTACTTAACAGAAACTACTTTACTCAGTGCTGCTAACACTCACACAAAGCTCTGAACCTCATCCAGGGGAACCACGGTATTAACTCATAACCTCACCTTTCTCCTATTGTCCATATGTGCCATGCATAGAGTCTAGAAATGGCAACTGAAAAGGAAAAAAAAATCCCAACCCAAAATAATACCTGAAAATCCCTGAAACATGTTTTCATCAAGATTTTACACTCCAAAATCTGTTATCATTTCATGATTTATTTTTTTGAAACTAATTTTGTCATTGGTGTCCTCACTCAATTTTTTTCAGATACGTGAATGGATGGAAAAACTGACAGAGAAATTAACAGAGGATAAGTAATTGACTTACTGCACAAAAGAGAAACACAGGGAATGTGGTTAGATCATCTTGATTTAGTTTTAGTCACATTATTTAAAAAAACCCACCAAAACAAACAAACCAAAACCAAAACAAAACACAAACACAAACAAACAAAAAAAAATCTGCAAAGTCGGAGTTTAGCACAAGGCAGTCACCAAAGACACTCTGCAGAATAGTAAGCAGATATATTTTTAAAAATTTTTAGAATTTTTCCTATGTTTCATTGTCATAATTGATGCAAACTGGTAGCCATTTATCTAAATAAACCTGCCACTCTAGTAAACTGTTAGTGTCCTAAACGAATCCAAATTGATTAATCTAAAGAAGGTGTGCAAAATATATCCCCAAAAGTGAACATAAAAAAATTCTGTTTTAATGAAACTACAATATTTGAGAATCATGCTCCATTGTGTTTGTAACTTGTCTGTGGAAAAGATAACACATTTAACTGCATTAATCTGCATTTCTTTCACTTCAAGAAGTCTATCATGATTTATCTTCATTTCTAAGAGAAAATTTACTAACAAAGTAGAATACTTATACCTCATATTGAATCTTTCTTATTTTTTATGACATACAGCAGGTATTAGCTAGCACAATATGAAATTCTGTAAGTACATCTACTGCTGACATAAATAAACAGACCATGAAATGTGTGTATGCTACGAGAGCATTTTACCACACTAAGCACAAGAAAATGTGGTAATCAGAAGTAGTTATCTGACCTTGGGTGCTAACTTATCACTCAAATCAGCAAAGCACTTACCACCACCTGCAGTCCTCAATTCTGTTTAATTCTTATAGTATGGTTGTGCTTTTTAGTTATTTTTTTTTAACCCTGGACTTGTAATACTTTTATTCTGTAGGACAATACGTCTCCAGTTTGGAGGCAAAAACTTTAGGGTTTCCTTTAGCTACAAAAAGCACTGGATGATGTGTAAGAAAACACACTAAAGATAAAATTATGAAAGAGGTGAATTAGATGACCGCCTGAAGAGAATATTCACTGCCTGAAAAGAATACATATTCTCACATGAAAAATTCTTTACTACTAAGCTAAGCAGAAAAGCCTCATCCATTAGCACACAGAAATGAAGGTGGACAAAGCCTTTGTAATGCCACAAATACACACAGCTAACTCAAAAAGGCTTTTATCTGCAGACACCGTGGGAGGGGAAAAGGTACATACACATTCACACTGACCTGCATTTTGCTATAGGGACACCTCAGCTGTTGCAGGATTTCAGCCTGCAATGGCTATGATTTCAGCATTACAAAGGTTGTCTACTGCCTTCCCCTGCCGATGCAAGGGGAAACCCTAGGGCCAGATTCCCCCAGCGCTACTCTCCAGGTGGTCATTTAAGGCTGAGTACAGCAGGCCCAGCTCATGGGCACGCTCTGACCCCTTTGCCTGGGAGAGCAGCTCCAACCTTCACAAACACAGCCACACTGAGGCACCAGCGCAGCACAGGGCACGGCTCGAGGTCACCGGGCACGGTCAAACAAGGGGTGCAAACAATACAGTTGTATCCCAAGTGCATTGGTTGCTCAGGGCAGAGAGTCTTCCAGCCCTGTGAGATGAAGCCAAATCAGGTCTGCTCTCCAGCCCACTTTCCTCCTAGCCCGAGCCGTTCAGTGAGGACACCCACACACTGCAGCCTGAACCTTGCCTGCTAAACTGTGCTTTGGATTGCAAGCACGCACGTAGGTATTGCACTTGCTGTACCCACCAGCTGCATTCCAGTGAGCCAGCAGGATATTAACATTTTCAAAAAGCCTAGGCTTTAAATGATTCAGTGAAAAAGCCTTCCAGAAAGTCGGCTTCTTGGAAGAACTGCTCCTGGCTCACTACAGTAGAGGGGTCAGGCAGAACACATTTTAATTCAGGTCTGTTAACCAGTAACTGGTTTTCCACCTCCAGGACTCCTAAATGATTGCACTGGCTTAAAATTAACCACGCTTAATTTTTCTTCCCCAAAGTGAGAAGTACAAGCCTGCAGGATGGGGGGAGAGAAGGAGCTGAAAAGTGCCTAGGTAGAGACTGTGAGAAAGCATCCTCAGGCATAAAAAAAAGCCCTCATTCTCTACACTCCAGGACACTTTCTCATGCCCTGCACCACTGCACACACACACTCCCCACTACCTGTCTCCACTGTTCACCCCCAGGACCCCCTGTTATCCTGGCCCCCTTCACAGGCCTGGTAAGCCTTGGGCTGCCTGGGAAAGACAAGCACACGCAGAGCCCTGTGAGGCTGCAGTGCCCTGAGCATGGGAAAGGCAGAGAGTTCATGTGCACGCACCCCTTACCAGGCAAGGCACACATTTCAGCTGGAGGAAGTTGGAGTCATACAAGGGTGCCTGCATTTGCTTTTGATAGCCACGAGGAAGGCCATCCACATGGCTCTGCCAGTTTTGCAGCATCATCCCTGAACATGGGTTCCAGCAGACAGGTACCCTGAAAACATCCTCCTCCTCCTATGAGTCATGTTTGAAGCACAGGAAGCCTCATAAGTGCTTTTGGTAACTTATATACACTGGCTGAGGTTGGTCTGCTCTAAGACTCATTATTGCAAGCTTGTCCAGGTTTATAATTGCAATTCTACTTGGTATATATTGTATAACTAAGCACCTGCCCATCACCAGCAGCTGTCTTACAGGAAAATAGAGGTAGAGATGTAGAGATCATCTCTCTTTGGCTGAAGATCACCCAGTGGATAAATACGAGAGGAAGCAAAACTCAGGTACCTTCCAACTTGTACCCAGTGGCTTTAACAGCCCTAAGACAGGAATTATAGCAAAGCAATATGGCTTTTAGGAAGGAAATCAAGGAAAAATGGAAACACGTATTCTGATTTTTTAGGAAAACAGAAGGAAACTGAAAAGCAAAACAATACCCAGTGTCATGAGATGATACCATGTGCCTCAGGAGGAAATGTAGCGCATTAAACAGTCACTCACAACAATTAAAAGCATAGTCGGCAATGCGTTCCAAGTCCAAAAAAGTCACTTAGGTTTTTCTTTGTTTGGAAGCTGCAGAATATGAATTGTTATCAGCAACAACTCAGAAAAGGGTTGGGCCAGGGGGGACGTGTTGCATGTGGCCCATACAGTGAGGTACCAGCCTGATGACAGTTCATTATCAAACAAAATAATGCAGGAGTCTGAAAAGCTTCTTTCCCTGCAGAAAGCATATTTTACAGCATCTGGTATACCATGGAAACAGCAGCTCAAGTGGGGGGACTGCTGCACACCCGGAAGGCTTCTTTGTTTACATGGCTGGCAGTTGCCTCCCTGCAGGGAATTTGCATTCTTCCCTTCCTCTGAGCATGTATCATCAGCTGCATCTGTGGGTAGAACCACTCACAAGGCCAAGTCCTGCCCTCAGGGATACAGGTACAATCCCTATGGAAGAGAACAAGGTTTGGGTCTGCATCAGCCAGAGCAAAGTCTGGTCATTGCCAGCCATCTGTCTTGAGATATCATATGCTGAAGCTTCAGCTTGAGCAGCATACGTGAAAGGGCTTCAATTGCTCAAGTATCCCCTTTCCTTTTCTTAAATAGACTCTGCCACTCCAAGACAGATACTTCAGCAAATTCCTCCTCATTGCATATTCACCTTGCTAGTTCCTCACAGCAAGGAAAAAATCTGCAGCAATGTCATCTTCCCTCCTTGCTGAAAATGGGTTTAGGCACTAAGCCAAAGTTTTCAGAAAGAGGCAGTATTTCAGAGAGTAGCAGTGCCTTTTGATTTTTGGGGTGTTTAACATGAGGCATGGCCAAACTATTCCTGTTAGTTGCTCAATACCTGCAGATCTCATGGCTGCAACTGGGAACTGACTCAGATTGCATGGAGGATGCTTTGAACATTTCAGCTTGTTGCAGCTGGAAAACAAATCCTACGGTTTATGAACTTAGCTGTAGTCCTTAAGGGTCGCTAGATAAAATGGTTTGAAGAGGGCCACAAAGCTGGGATCCAGCAGATGCATGTTCCTGACAGTAACTCAAAATTTGGACTCCAAAAAAGGGTCCTGGAGAACGCAACGATGGTAGCCCTTGAATTTTGTAGTATGAATGCCACAATAGCTACTAAGCTCTGTGGAGGTGGATGTGATGAGTCCATCAAAATTCACTGCAAATAGAAAACATTACCCATGCAAGAACAGCTAAGGGAAAAGGCTTCTTTTGTTGCCCCTTTCTGAAAAGTATCACATATTACCTGATGTCAGTCACTTATCAGGACACCTGGGCTTCAAACTTGTGGCTCAGAAGCCAAAGATGCCACATTGCATAACTAGTCTCATACATGCTCCACCCTCACCACCCTACAGTCATATGTGATGTTCTGTTTCATTGTGATATTAAAAACCACAGAAGCATTGTTTGATTGCACAACTCATATCAAAAGATTAAAAAATCTATACAGTTTTTCATCGTACAAAATGGCAATGAATGACATTTACGGATCAGATTTTTAGTATTCAGTAGGCTTTACATGTCTTTTTTCCTTAGACCATCAGAAAAAATCCCAATTGCTAATAACCTACTACCCAAAGGGATTTTTTTAAACACAAGCTAACATTTAATTAAAGC